TTATTAAATACAACGATCGTCAAATAGATTATGGTATAAAAGTTGTTTCTGTTAAACAATATACATAAGAGACACTTCATGAAGCATTGTCATAATTCTTTCCATAGCGATATTTTCACTTTCAAGTTGTGAGAGTTGTGTTTTCCTTCTTCGATGGTGTTTACATCGCGGGGAGTAAGCACTTCGTCTTCATCCAAGAGCGTTGAAAGGTCTTGCTGGCTCAGGGTAGTTGTAGCCGGTGTTACAGTCAGGCTGGTAGGTGCGAGTGGCGGTCACAGTGTTGTACTGCGGCCTGTAGACGGTTGAAGTGACGTAGTTGGTGTTGTAGATGGTCCTAGTCTGGTACTGCGTACGGGTCTGACCTGGCAGCTGGACAGTACTGACGGAGGTAGTGGTGACGGTGACATATTGTGTCTTGGCTGGAAGGTTTACAACAGATGGCACCACTATTTGAGTGTAGATGGTTGTGGGCACCACCTGTGTTGATACCTGAGTACTCACTACTTGTTGTGGTACTGTTACTGTACTGGTAAAGTACTGCGGCACCTGCTGTGTACTGATGTACGTGGACACCTGCTGTTGTTCCTGGGTGCGTGTCACGTACTTTGTCTGGGTGTTAGTGAGTACCACCTGGGAGAAGATGGTGGTGGTGACGGGAACCACCTGGGTGGAAGTAATAACCTGGGTCAGACCTGGCTGAGTGATGGTCTGAGTGACAACGCTGGTGCGGATAACTTGAGTTGTACTCACCACGTCCTGAGCAGGTACCAACACGGTGGAGTAGATGGTGCTGTACTGGGTTCTGTCCACTGTACGGGTCTGTCCTGGGACCTGCTGGGTTCTGGTCACATACTGGGTCTGGTAGATTGTGCTGACTACCTGTTGAGGAACTACTAATGTCGACACCACGTCCCTGATAATTGTTGATGGTACTTGCTGGATGCGGGTCGAGTATACAGTCTGATACTGAACTTGTGTCCTCACGACTTGTTGCGTCTTAGTGACGTAGTTGATCTGAGGAGGAAGAGTTACGACCTGTGTGCGGATCTTGTCCTGGGTGCGTGTGACGGTTACTGTCTCGTACAGGACGGACGGAACTACTTGTGTGCGGACTATCTCGGAGTAGACAGTGGTGTAGACCTGCTGTGTACGGACAGACGTCTGAGTGACGTACTGCACGTCAGTGTTGTAGACGGTGGATGGGATAACCAGAGTAGAATACCGAACCTCAGTGCTGTAAATCACAGATGGCTGGCAGTTAGCCGCTTCTTTAATCGGTGGAAGATACGAGGACTCGAGATCGATGCTGTTATCGAAGAGTTGTCTTCGAGGTCTCTCCACTGCCGTCCCGAGGGCGTACCCCACCAGCAGCAGCGACACCAAGACACCTCGCATCCTGTGTTGGGAAACTATAGTTAATTTACCATTGTATTATACAAAATGGAAAATATAATCACAAAACATACAATTGCCACGTTTCTTAATACTTACTTTCTCGTATGTACACAACAGCAGCTGTCACTCTTTTATATATTTATAAAGTTAATGAAAACAGTACATAGGAATTATTAAACTGTATTTTTCATTTACATAAATACAAAATCGAATATGGAAAGGTGGTAACAGATTACGCTAGTTTGCGGCAATGTAAGTCACTTATGAAGAAAACGCTTCATATCGTGTTTGTCCTCTTGTGTATGTTGCGTAGGTCGAACCAACTTTTTTCTCTTAGTCTAGAAGCCTTACGGAAACAAATGTCGAATTCAGTTAGAAGTTGAAAGGAACCGCGGGAGAGTCATAGTTGTACCCTGTCTTGCCACAGGTGGCTGTGATGGTCTGTGTGACGGTGACCTGTCGGGGCTGGTTGATGGTCTGATAGACCACCTGTTGTTGTTGCTGGGTCTTAGCCACCTGTTGGGTCACCACACGGTCCGGGCCAGGCACTTGCACCACTGAGGTTCTGGTTTCTTCAAGAGTCTGGTACACCGGAGCGGGAGTGACGTACTGGGTCTGGACCACGGTCTGTACCTGAGTGAAGGGCTGAAATCTGGTCTCGTAGATGGTGGTGTAGATGATGTTGGGTACGACTAGTGTACTAACTACCTCTTGAGGAACTACCTGGGTGCTGATTACTGTTTGAGTGACAACGTTGGTCCTGGTTACCACCTGCTCAAGAGTGGTATAAGCTGTTTCATAACGGGTGTTAAGGGATGTGTAGGGGATGACCTGTTGGCGCTGAACAACACTGGTCCTGAAAACATTCTGTCCGCGAACATATCTGGTCTGCACCACTTGTTGTACACGCGTCGACGTCACATAACGTGTGTTGGCTGGCTGTTGACGCCTCACGATGGAGGTTTGAACGACGATCTGGACACGCGTCCGTACTACATCAGGGCCTGGGATTGTCACCACTTGGGTCTGCTGCTGTATTTGTGTCTGGTAGTTTGTCACGGGCTGATTGATGGTCTGCACCTGTGTGCGAGTCACCACCACAGGTACTACTTGTGTTTGCACCTGTGTGCTGGTGACGTAACTGACCTGTGGCACAACGCGAGTTGACGTAACGTAAACAGTTTCTTGACGAGGTGGGCTTGGGATAGTTTGGGTCACAATTCTGTCATTAAAAAGGGTGGTTGTACGCTGGATGACACTGGTCTGGTACTGGACCTGAGTCTGGACGCGAGTCTGGAAGAGAGTAGTTGGTACGACCTGTTGTCTGACCAGGGTGGTGGTGATGTACTGTGTGTTGATCTGGTTCACGGTTAGCACGGTGACGGAAGTTTGGACTCGTGTTTCTGTGACCACAGAGGTGATGGGGGCCACTTGGCAACTCGGGTTGCTTGGGGAGGGTGGCAGATAGCCACTGTCGGGTATCGGGTAGTTGTACCCCTGGGGAGTAGCCGAGGCCAGGGTCACCACCAGCAGCGTCGCCGTCAAGCGCCACATCCTGCAAAGAGAAATTCCACAGGTTAGAACAGCGGTGATTGGAACCCCCGCGTCTCGGCAACTCATTTGGGAATAAAGTCCAATCACGCGCCGCTCCCTCTGTGCAATTTCTCTATGCTTTGTGGGCTGACCCGAGAGGACTTTATCGCCCAGATGAGCCGTGAGGCGCTGACCTGGATGAACAGACGACCTGGTCCGTGGATTCCTCATTAGATTATACCATGAGAGTGGATGCGAAGAGGGATTAGAAAATGGGATGGAGGAAAGAAGTATTCGTCATTGCCAATTCATTCATCAATAATCATACATCACCCATGCTATTTATCAAAGCAGTAGCCAGAGGCTGGTTGCAGAGGTCTTCCTCTCTACAAAAACACATTTACACTGTATCAACACATTGTCTCCTCGGGGGACAGAGGGTCGGATCCTCTGGTGGCTTGTAAATGATTGTATAAAATTCATTTCCCTCTTAGTTGTATATTGTTTTACTTGATGTCAGTGAGCCAAAATTAGACAGGTAGAGCGGTAGAAGGATCCTTGAGGCGAGGGCTTGAGCACTACACAACGTGGCATCATTAAGACAGTAACGTGAAGTGTTGTGTAGCCAGGCTAGCCCGGCCTTTATCTGTCGTGCCATTATGTGGGTGTGATCTCCATAGTGCCACCCACTACACTGCTCCACACCCACTACACTGCTACACACCCACTACACTGCTACACACCCACTACACTACCACCCATTACACTGCTACTCACCCACTACACTGCTCCACACCAACTACACTGCTACACACCCACTACACTGCTACACACCCACTACACTGCTACACACCCACTACACTGCTACACACCCACTACACTACCACCCATTACACTGCTACTCACCCACTACACTGCTCCACACCAACTACACTGCTACACACCCACTACACTGCTACACACCCACTACACTACTCCACACCCACTCCACTGCTCCACACCCACTACACTGGTACACACCCACTTCACTGCTACACACACATTACACTGCTCCACACCCATTACACTGCCACACACCCACTACACTGCTCCACACCCACTACACTGTTCCACACCCACTACACTGCTACACACCCACTACACTGCTACACACCCATTACACTGCTCCACACCCACTACACTGCCACACCCACTACACTGCTCCACACCTACTACATTGCTCCACACCCACTACAACTGCTACACCCACAACACTGCTACACACCCACCACACTGCTACACACCCACTACACTGATACACACCCATTACACTGTTACACGCCCACCACACTGCTTCATACCCACTACACTGCTACACATCAACTACACTGCTACACTCCCACTACACTGCTACACACCCACTACACTGTTTCACACCCACTACATTGCTACACATCCACTACACTGCTACACACCCATTACACTGTTACACACCCACTACACTGCTTCGCACCCACTACATTGCTACACATCCACTACTCTGCTACACATCCACTACACTACTACACACCCACTACACTGCTACACTCCCACTACATTGCTACACATCCACTACACTGCTACACACCCATTACACTGTTACACACCCACTACACTGCTTCGCACCCACTACATTGCTACACATCCACTACTCTGCTACACATCCACTACACTGCTACACACCCACTACACTGCTACACTCCCATTACACTGCTACACACCCACTGCACTGTTTCACACCCACTACATTACTATACATCCACCACACTGCTACACACACACCACACTGCTACACACCCACTACACTGATACACACCCATTACACTGCTACACACCCACTACGCTGCTTCACACCCACTACATTACTACACATCCACTACATTGCTACACACCCACGACACTGCTATCCACTACACTGCTACACACCCACTGCACTGTTTCACACCCACTACATTACTACACATCCACTACATTGCTACACACCCACGACACTGCTATCCACTACACTGCTACACACCCACTACACTGCTTCACACCCACTACACTGCTACACACCCACTACACTGCTTCACACCCACTACACTGCTACACACCCACGCCTGTTACACGGCCTCACGCCCACGCCCGTGACACTGCCTAATGCCCACGCCTGTGACATTACTCCACGCCCACGCCTGTGACACTGCTTGGCGCTCACTCCCATGACATTGCTCCACGCCCACGCTTCTGACACTTTTCTAAACCCACACCCGTGACGTTTCTCTACACCCACACCCGAAACGTTGCTTTACACCCACACCCGTAACGTTGCTCTACACCCACACCCACACTCATGACGCTGCTCTACACCCACACTCGTGACGCTGCTCTACACCCGCACCCACACTCATGACCCACCCACACTCACACTCGTGACGCTGCTCTATACCCACACCCACACTCGTGACGCTGCTCCACCCACACCTGAGAGAAATATATATCCTCATCTTAGTGACGGCACTTAGTGGCACTTGTGTCAGCGTCCTGAGAAGGAGGTGCCACCACCAGGGCCACACGCCAGAGCGTCAGGTCTAGCGTGTTTACACTGAGGTCAGTCAGGTTAAGCATGGTTAGGTCTGACCAGTAACTAGACGAGTGACCGCCTACATCAATCTCTGACCATTGACTGTTGCGACTTTGACATAACATCAACCTCACGTTCACGACCGTGTGTACGCAAACATTAATTATTATTGTTATTATTATTGTGATTATTATTATTATAATTATTATTCATGGGGAAGCGATGAAGCTGTAGCGGTCGAACAACGACTAGGTAATGAGAATGGGTCCATGGATAGAAGAAATTAGCTCCAGTTCAGTGATCAAGAGCCCTTGATCCACTGAAGGTACCTTGCTTGAAGGGCAGACGCAGGGGGAGGAGCTGGTGTTTGTGTCAGATGATCTACTGTAGGAGGGTGAGGGAAGTCCTGCTGGCGACGCTGCAGGGTTTGAGAGAAGACAGTCTTGGGATAGGAAGGATAGGTGTGAGGGAGGGGAATTTCAGGTTAGCGAGTTTGAAGGGTGCGGGATGTTGTCGGAGTGAATTTGAAGGTGAGGAGTGGAGGAGAGAGGTATGCGAGAGAGAGAGGGAGAGAGGTATGCGAGAGAGAGAGGGAGAGAGTGATGGCGAGTGAGTGGTGGAGAGACAGACAGACGACAGAGAGGCCTCAAGCAGTGATTAGGAAGTTAAATTGTTTCAACACCATCAGTATACTGACACTACTCTGTATGACAGCTATACTGTGGCAGCAACAGTTGAGTGTTGGAAGGGACGAGGGAAGGGGTGTTGGCAGAGAGCTGCTGATGGATACTACTGACTCCTCTCTATACAGAGCTCACGCAGCTTAATATTCCATTGGCCAATGTTGAAACCTGGGGTACCTGAGGGACTGACCACCTCCTCACAGT